ATGTTGTGTCTGTTACTAAACAAGGAGTGTGCCCAGCCATACATCCGGGCATGGTCGGCATCTGTACACAAGAGTGCAATGGCGATGAACATTGTGATGGAGACAAAAAGTGTTGCAGTAATGGATGTGGACGTGTTTGTGTTGATGCTGAACCATGTAAGTAGTTTCCAAACAGTATAGTAAGTTTTGAAAAGCAGTCAGAATAATCTTTTGTATAAAAATATTTAAAAGAACTTCTAAACAACAAGTATGTTGGTATCTTGTGTTACTCTGTGAAGGATTATCTGGCATTTTCAATTACATGTTTTTAGAAACCAATCGCCCTTCCCTGATGTAGATATATATTATGGGGGAAACCAGATCATATTATAAAGAAGGTGCTTTAAAACGTATGTATTGTTTTGCAGTAATCAAACCTGGCCACTGCCCTGCTGTTCAACAAGGTAAAATTGGAGCTTGTGTACAATATTGCAGCACTGATGAATCATGTGCAGCATTCCAAAAATGTTGTTCAAATGGTTGTGGGACAATTTGCATAAACCCAACACCAGGTAAGTTTAGGGGTCCTCACACGGAAGGTAACACAATTATCGAAAATCATGTTGTAGTTTATTGCAATGAGGCTTTAATTTGAAAATACAGATGCAGTTTCAGTACTATGGAATTTATACCACATATTTGATTGATCTTGATTTTGCAGTTGTTAAGGAAGGTTTATGTCCAGCAGTTTACCCGGATCAGGCCGGAACATGCAGTATGGAATGCTACGATGATGCACATTGTGAGGGAAGCAAAAAATGTTGTGGTAATGGATGCGGACGTGTATGTGCAGACCCAGGTGAGAGAGGCGGAAAAACACTTTGTTAGAGACTCAACTTTACAGTTTATAATTGTCGCAATTGTCGTATGTTGTTTAACTTTGAAATCATTTATTATTACTATCAGGTCACACATGTCGCTATGGAAACTTAGATTACAGAGAATTATCGTCCAGAATAGACGAGTGTAATACATGGTAAGAATTGGAAGAACTACTGTTTTTCTTTGTATGTCGGTGTTTAGTGTATATGAAATGAGTCGTCCTTTTTTCCCTCTAAACAAATCATGCTGTGGCGAATATTGAATACTAAATCATATTCAAAATCATCAAATATGTATATATCTGTTTTTATCGTTGTTGTTGTATAATGTGTTTTCATATTTTTTAGTGTCTGTAAACGAAATGGTTGGTCTTGCACCGAAAATGAGTGCAGTAAGTTGAACATCGTTTACTCTTCATTTATTTCGGCCGTTCTTAAAAAACAAAATAGTATCATTTACCAATTGCACGAAATTATATAATGCTGCATTTTAATATCCAGGTCTAAGTTATACACTCTTGTTTTTATTACAGCATTGCCTTGTGAATACAGCAATAAGCAAACGAAACATTTGGAACGACTTGAACTGGATTGTGTGAGTTGGTAGGTTAAATTGAACAACTCTTTCTAATTTGATCGTGTCCGATTTGTTAGTAATTACCCTAAATATCTGTATATGTTTTAATTTCAGTATATGTTACAATAGTGTGTGGAAATGTGAAAGTTCTAAATGCAGTAAGTATCCAAGATACCTAAATTGCAAATGTCCGCCAAGACCCCGTTGCGAGCGAGAACGTTATGAGACTTCACTTACTCCCTCAATGTTGAGATAAGACGTTCTTTGACTTAGCAGCTTAGAAGACATCAGTCTATGACGTTTTTTTCAAATTCATCATATCCATCATATCGAATTATATTACGATATACTGTACCCAAATGTGCAACAACACATTGTAATGGAAAGAATTGTGTTAACTATATGTTTATTACATTTCATTGTATGACTGAAACGTAATGCATAATGATCCTTCTTGTATAATTGAGTAATTGACATTTCTTCTTTTGTTGCAGAACCAAGCTATATGTAAGTGGCTATATTTATTTCTACTTCCTACTTTCATTGCAATATTTCATTCTCATATAAGTATATGATATTGTGAATAACTAACAGAACACTCTAACACTGTGTACATTTCATATTTCACCAACAGAAAATACAACATCAATTTTGCCTTCGACGCAGATTATAGCATCGTACGAGGAAATGAGGATGACTTCACAGTGTGAGTATGCGTCACGAAATCAGTATACATTTATAGTTGTTTAGAATGAGATTGAGTGGATCAAACTAATGACATTATCTAATTTTCTATTTGGAGGTATTACTAATGACAATAAGAACTACTACGAATATCTCATGTTGACGCGGCATTGTTCAATGTATGCAAGTATGTGTGAACTTAATGTCCAATTGATTGTTTTCACAGAAAATTGATTCAATCGCTAGAAAGATACTTTGGAATAAAAAATATCATATCAGATCTCACTGTAAGTATGTGGTTTTTCAGATGCAACTTGCGCACAATGCACTAAAATATAATAGTACACTAGTATAGAAAATGCAAGGATTACAGAGTCTGCAAAGTTTGTAATAGTTATTATATACTGCAATTATATTAGGCACGATTGTTATTATCCTGGTCGACTAACATAAATGTGTTCAAATAAGACACTGGCCTATATCTTATGAAACTCTGGCCTATATCTTTTTTGTCCATTGATAATATCATCTTTTAAATATGACTTTCCTGTATGAAAAAACCCGTAGCACATGATATATGCACGTAATATTGAAATTACTAAATGTAACTGTTGTTATTGTGCAGGTCAGAGAAGGAAGCATATTGGTTTCATATAACCTTATTGCGATGAATGCTAATGAAGACTTGAATAGCATAGCAATTGAAATGGAGAATGCGGTATGTTGAATTATTCACTGTGTGTTGTAGGGTAATTAAATTGCTGCAATTGTCACAATGCGTGGTGTTATGAGTAGATCACATGTGATGCATAACATATATTGATTACATAAAAACTTAACGTGCGCTACAGGACGACTGTAGTGGCGCTTTGATTGCAGTTTGCTTATTTACAAATATGTTGTTTCAGTTCACGAAAGGTCTTTACAATATGACATACGGTGGAGATGTACTTATCGTCAAGGCGGATACATTCACGAGGCAGAAACTTCAGGGAAATCAACCTGAAAAATCCTTTAATTATATTGGAATCGGCGTAGGGTGTGTTCTGGTTGGGTTAGTTCTAATCATTGGACTGGCCACTGCTATTGTGAGTATTACTTTACGACATAATTCCAAAATGTTTGTGTAACAAGTGGATTCTCACTGTACGTACGTTGAACATATAAACTTAACGAATGAAAAACAATGTAATTATTCGAAAAGCTATTGTTCGAAAAGTGAGACCGTGCAGTTAACATGCATTTTATCTCCCTTCTTGTAGAGAAAGAGGAAATTCCGTAAAAGCAAGAAATACACGATGAATGAAGTCCTCTGTGACCCTGCCCAGGATAATGTAAGTTATTATGGAATCAACGCCAGAATTATAACGCATAATTGTAGAATACAGCAAATAAATCAATTTGATAGTTACAATTCAAGATATATACATATGCACACATTCGGACTGTATAAAGGTTTTTTAATTGAATGAGTCATTAGTTATTAGTCATTTATTAGTTAAACCGCGACGCATATGTTTGTCTCTGACATATATTGTGTTTTATTCACAGGGTCATGCTACTGGTATTAACAATGGTTCATTTGAAGAATACTAAAGCCTATTGCACCATACTTTCCTGCCGACTCGTATCGACTATATTATTCCATGTTTTGATTTGTTATTACTGAAGCACGCCCTCGATATATTTAACTGTAAACACGTTGTTTTTTTATTATTATTTGTTCATATTCAATGATTTATCAGACTGTTAACAAATTGGAATTGGAAAATTGGAAATGTTTTAGTATATGTATAATATGACATTCAACTCAGGTTAATTTGCCAATATTTCAGACCCAGTGATGTGATTGTAATATTATCTACAATATGTAAATACTCGGATTCTTCCCAAAAAATAAATGTTTTTGAATGCAGCTATTCTTTATCTGTTTTGTTATACTTTCACCTGAGCCAGCCATATAAGATATCAATATCGAGTGAAACAACCCCACATTATGGAATTATTTCTACGCATATCTATGGATTGGAAAATCGTGTCCAATGATTCCATGATGCAATATTATCCATCTCTTTAAAAGTTGAACGTTTCAATATAACGAAAGCAGTGTTATGCATAGGCTAATATTTGGTTCATGAAACGTCTGAAAAAAACGAGTGTCAAATACTTCCGTTTTCAACAATATGAAATTTGTTTCGTTATGGGATATATTACTAAGAATTCATAACAAAATGTATTCCATGTGCTCACCAATGATAATTTTCATAATTAGACAAGAATATTATAGAAAAAAGATAATGGTGATTTTACTTGGTACTTTTCTGCATGAAACGAAAGAATTTCCATGTTGGAAATGGGAAGTCTGTGTCGTAGCGTTATTAGCAAAAACTTGTCTGGAGTGTGCATCATATAGTTATAACCTTCGATAGAGCATTGATATCAAAAGAACTAAAATCGTTCGACTGTCGAACAGTTTTCGTCAAGTCAAACGAATTCACTGCTTCGGCACAGTTATGTTGATGATATTTCAAATACAATGACAAAAGTATATGAGACCCACCACGGACCAGTACTTACGTTCAATACTGGCATTTGATTGTCTGTTGGAGTATTCACACAAGTATGAATTGACGTTTGGTAGCTAGCTGACATATACATGACTGCTGTTACGTGCTTTTTAATAGATTGTCGTATTTTCTGAATGCACTTTAGTCTACAAATCAGATGGCGTAATTCTATATTTTGACTAAAATTTAGGGTAAACGTTCTACATTTTGATAACAATGTCAAAGTTCTACATGTTCTTGGGGAACGGATAAAATAAATAGGCTTAAGAATGTTATGTTCATCAAAATGAACTGTTCATACTTTCGATAAAATATACAATCCATAAATATATATAATTATTGAAAATGTCAGAGCTATACTACGAAATTAACAACCCGTATTGTCATGATGACTAACTTTGCTTGTGTTTCAATTAATAAATCGAACAATCAAGTATAAAATAACTTTTTTCTCGCTGTCAGTATATTGCTCTCAGAAGATTTCATGACCATCCACCACGATGCTAAGAGTAGTGTTTATGTATGTAGTGAACATGTATTAACCAATTAATTCTGTGTTATACGTGAGGCATATACTGTCGACAGTTCTCGGGCCTAATAAAGAGTTACTTATTTTCAAACGCCGTAGGCGTG